GTGCGTGTGAAGGTTGCTCTGGCGTGGCCTCTTTTTCCCCACCCGCTGCCCGGCCCTCGGCTCACAGGATGAGAGAGGTGTAGCTGACGGGAACCAGGCCTCTGCTGTCGCCACGGCAACACTGGATCCAGTCCTCGTTGACCGTATCCAAGACTCGAAGAATGTCGCCTTTGCGGAAGCTCAGTTGATCCGCCCCGGTCCCCATGTGGTTACAGAGGGCGCGTACGGCCCTGGGTGGACAGAGAGACGGGCGTAAGAAAATCCCCATGGAGGACGAGAAAGGGTACAAGGTAGCTTTCTATGCGCGGGGAATTTTTCTTTTTAAAGCAGAGAAGCATTCGGTCATGTACATCTCCACCCGCAGTCTGAAATGGTATCGTCCAGAGATTCACCACTGCCCCTGCGCCTCGGTGTTTTCTTAAACAGCCCTGTCAGCACCAGCACAGTCGTTAATTACCACATTCGTAACGATCACCATCAAATATTGTTATACGGGACAGTGGAATTGGTACTTTAAAGACGGAGCCTGGCTAAAGGTGAACAGAGACAGTATTTAAATGGGCACGGTTAAGGGAAACAATCTAGACGAAGAGTGAAGACAGATGTAACGTTTTACGGGTGAAGACAGATGGAACATTGGAACATGCTGGGGTTATTTTAAACGCACATTCACTGCAGTATGAGCTACTTCTCTTCAGAGCCAAAAAATGGAAAGGTTTCCGCTAACTTTTCCACTCAAATCTTGCCCTATCCCTTTCCATGCCTCAAGAGGGGACTGGGTAAAACATGTGGAGCAGAGGCCCATCCGTGGCTATTGGCCACAAAGTATAAATGGAATACTATGTCTGGGGCAGTGATGCTCTGTATTCTTGGTGCTGGTGGGGGGCAACAGTGGGAGGGCTTCTGGAGTTTTGGCCCCACTGCTGGACCTCCTGATGGACCCTAGGTTTTGGCCACTGTGTGACACAGTGTTGGACTGGTTGGGCCATCGGCCTGATCCAACATGGCTTCTCTTACGTTCCTATGATACCACGGTCACATTCTGACCTGCCTTGACAGAACAGGTCTGGGAGGTAATTCAGATCTACATGAAATTGCTGGTTGGGTCCAATCCAATGTGTGCACTTCAACCACCGAATGTTATGTCTGTCTTCACCTTTGAAACAGAGGCAGCAACCTACCAGAAGGACCGGGGGGGGGGGACAGGACAGGCGTGCCAGCGTACAATGTCACTTCCCGCGCAAAACCGGAAGTGACATCATCACATTGGGCAACACTCTAGGACATACCCAAAACTCTATGGTTAAACCAGTTTTGTGCCGTGACATCACACACTGGCACCTCCTCTACCCCCCCCCCGCCAGCCTGTGAAGTGCCAGTGGGGACCGGGAACAATTGCCTGGAGGTCTCCTGTAATAAATGGGAGATCTGGCCCCTAGTCTTCACCCTAATAGTACTGGAACAGCATTTTTCGACAAAGTCTGAGTCCAGTGGCACCTTTAAGACCAACAAAGTTGAAGTCTGGGTATAAGCTTTCGTGGGAGAAGGAGGAGATTGGATTTATACCCCATCCTTCACTCAGAGTCTCGGAGCGGCTTACAATCTCCTTCCCCTTCCCCTCCCCACAACAGACACCCTCTGAGCTAGGTGGGGTTGAGAGAGCTCTTTCGGAGACTCCCCTTGAGAGAACAGCTCTGAGAGAACTTGTGACTGACCCAAGGTCACACCAGCGGCTGCATGCGGAGGAGTGAGGAATCGAACCCGGTTCCCCCAGATTACAGTCCGCACTCCTAACCACTACACCAAACATACACATTCCATCATCTGATCGCGCTCCTAGCCATTAGCCACCCGAGGAAGTGGGCAAGCACACGAAACTTTATACCCGGAAGAATTAAACGTTGTGGGCCTTAAAGATGCCACTGGACTCCAACCAATGTTCCCTCTAAGCTGTGGAGTCTTGTGAGCAAAAATTCTACTTTGTGAGCGACTGGCATGAAAGTTGTGAGTGAGCAATTTGGCTACTGCATAAATTAGTTGCTTTGGAGCCATCCTTCCTGAGCTAAGACAAAAATGTGTGAGCCGGAGGCTAAAAAATGGTGAGCTAGCTCACACTAACTCAGCTTAGAGGGAACACTGACTCCAACTTTGTTCCTTTGCTTCAGGCCAACACGGCTAACCCACCCGACTCTGCAGAAGTGTGCACGCGCAAGAAAACCGACACCCAGAATTAAACTTTGTGGGTCTTAAAAGTGACACTGGACTCCAGATTTGTTCTGCCGCTTCAGACCAGCACGGCCGCCCACCTGAACCTTTCCCGACGTGCACGATGGCTCCCGCTAGTCTCCCATCCAATAAGGGCAGGCTCACCTGTAGGTCTGCAGGGGATCTGGCCGGCCTTCCTCCCATGACTCCTCCACCCAGCTCTTCTCCGCGGGTGCCGACTTCATCACGAGAGCCAGGACATTGATGCTGGGGGTCAGCCAGCTAGACGGGCGCCTGCTTGGGAAGGGGGGCAGGCAGGGGTCATTTTGTAGAAAAAGAGGTGCAGGAGCTCATTAGCATAGCTCATTAGCATAACTTATTTGCATATGCCACGCCCCCTGACATCACCGGAAGTGTGTCAGAAGGCAACACCCACCGCTCAGGCTCCACTGGGCTGTTTTGGATTGCTAGCTATGGGGGGGGGAACACACAGATCTGCCCTCACAGAGGAGGGAGAGCTTGTACCTGGATAAAACTTGGTCTTAAAGGTGCCACTGGACTGTTTTGGACGGGGAGGGGCTCTGCAGCTTACCTGACTGCTTCTTGCTCTGACTGAGGGTGCTGGGAGCAGGGGGTGGGGCTTGTTGCATGTGCCCGCCCCCTGGGTTCTTTACTGCCGGAGCTCCGCTCCTGTGCGCTCCTGCAGGAAATGACCCCTGGGGGCAGGATTACTGACTCCAAAAATCGATGGGCCACTCGGGTATACGTCTGAGGATGGGGTGGACTTGGGCCTTAGGAATCTGGATTCAAATTCTGCTCTAATGACAAGACTCCGCAGGGCAGGATTGCACCGTGTAATAAACGTATCGAACTGAATCATAGAATCACAAGGGTTGGAAGGGGCCACAGAGGCCATCCAGTCCAACCCCCTGCTCAATGCTGGACCAGCCGAGAACATCCCTGACGACCCTTTGTCCAGCCGCTGCTTCAAGACTGTCAGCGATCTGGAGCCAACCACCCCCCTTGGCAGCTGATTCCACTGCTGAACTACTCTTACTGGGGAAAAGTTTTTCCTAAGATCCAGCTGGTAAAGGTAAAGGTTTTCCTTGCTCGAAAGCCAGTCGAGTCCGACTCTAGGGTTGCGGTGCTCATCTCCGTTTCAAAGCCGAAGAGCCAGCGCTGTCCGAAGACGTTTCCGTGGTCACGTGGCCGGCATGACTAAACACCAAGGCGCATGGAACGCCGTTACCTTCCCACCGAAGTGGTACCTATTTATCTACTTGCAATTTCTTGCTTTCGAACTGCTAGGTTGGCAGGAGCTGGGACTAGAGACGGGAGCTCACTCCATCATGCGGCAACCCGGGTCTCGAACGGCTGAACTACTGACCTTCCACAGCCTGCAGTTCAGCGTCCTAACCACTTGAGCCACCAAAGCTCCTGAAGGCTTATCAAGACGGCTCAATCCCGCCTAGTATAGCACTACCCTACCCTTCCCCCAAGGAGCTCACAGGGAAGCAGACACAATTCCCCGTTTCATCCTTAACATCAGCCCTGTAGAGTAGGCAAAGGCTGGAGGAGCGTGAGAAGCAAGCTGGGTGGCGGAGGAAGCATCTGAACCTCAGGATCCAAGGCCAATACACTAACCACTCGACTGGCTCTCACTAGCTAATAGTTACTTGCCAGCTCCGGGTTGGGAAATACCTGGAGGTTTGGGGGGCGGAGCCTGAGGAGGGAGGAGTTTGGGGAGGGGAGGGGCTTCCATGGGATAGAACGCTATAGGGTTCGTCTTCCAAAGCGGCCGTTTTCTCCAGGTCAACTGACGGCTACCCTTTGTCCTTTCGCTGTGGCCACCTAGATGCGCCAAGGAAGGGAAATCCACAAGCCGTGTAAGGAGGACTGCTCCTCCATCGCCCCCCACACTCCGTACAGAAAATACAACCAGAGAGAACCACGGAAGAGGATGACACAACAAACATAAATACCGTGGAGGATAACGGGAACAAGTAGGCGCGGTGTGTGTGTGAATGAAAATGCATTAACAGTAACAAAGCCACACCTTTTCAGCGTTCAGAGACAGTCTCAACATTCAAGGCGCCATGTCGCATGTAAACATCCAAATCCGTATCAAGGCGAGCCAGAACAGTCGACGTGAAATAAAGTGGTCTGCGGAAATGAGGTGCTTGCGTGTGTGATCCTCAACAAGAAGATACAGATGTTCCTTTTTCCTCTCTCCCATAACTTCGACTTGGGAATCGTTTCGCAAAATGCTTCTTCAGAAGAGAAGGCAGGGACACAAGACTCACCGACAGGGCTCTTTTTTGTAGGTAAAGCCCAGCAGGAACTCATTAGCATAATAGGCCACACCCAACCGCAGAAACTCATTAGCATATTAGCCACACACCCCAACAGCACAGTTCGTTAGCATATTAGGCCACACCCAATGTCTTCCCTTGACTTGCCCAGGTGCCCCACGGCTGCGGGATGCCTGGCAAGCCGCCCCTTAAATGCCTCCCCGATCCTACCAGGCCCCCCCTGGCCCGCCCGCTTCGAGTCGCTGGGGGGGTCACTCTCCATGCCTTCCCTCTGTAGCCACGCACACAGAGGTTTTAGCTGTAGTGGGCGTGGCCAACTCTGAAGCCAGCCAGAACTCCGTTCCTGTGCGTTCCTGCCCCAAAATAGCCCTGTTCACCAATCCAGGGAGTTCAATGGAGTTAGCTTCACATCAACCACATCAAGCAATATGCTCCAATATGCAACTTTATTTCATGTTGACTGTTATGGCTTGCTTTGATTTGGACTCTTTCATGCAATATGCACTTTGGATGTTGATATTGTCTCTGAATGCTGAAAAGTTGTGACTTTATTATTGTTAATGCATTTTCATTCACACACACACATTGCCTACTTGTTTTCATTATTCTCCACGGTATTTTTGTTTGTTGTGTAACCTCCACCATCCCTGGCAACAGAGGTTCAGAGAAACTGTACACGGAAGCGCCATTTAGCCATTTTTAGCTAGCAGTTCCTGTTAAACCTCTGTGATGAAATCTACCAATTCCCTGATTTTTTTAAAAAAAGCCATCAAAGCTGGCGGCTGGCTGCATCTTGTGGCCATGAACATGTTGCATGAACAAGCATTCCCATGGAAGTATCCAGAGTCCATGGCCAATCATTCCATGCAGATGACCTGGAATTCTGATACGATGAGGAGAAAGAGGCTTCCTAGCTCGAAACCTGGGGAGGGGGATCTCTCTGACACCAGTTTAGTGGGCTGTTCAGGGGCCTTACCTGGACTTGGGCACACTAGACTCGGACTCGGGGGGAGATCCCAAAACGGCCGGGGAAGTGGCTCCAAAGAGCCACCCCAACCTCTGCCCTTTCCCGGGGCTCTCCGCGGCATCCGACTTCTCATCGGCCTCCTGGGAACCAGTCTCTGCAGCACCGGATCGACACATCTCCAGCTTCCATTCCGCAACAACTCCGGGAGAGTGCTCCGTCTCATTGGTGGGTGTCTTTGTCAGCATCTCCACGCTGTTTCTTCCGGGGCTGGGCACGTCGGAGCCGGGGGCAGCGCCCCCCGTTCCCGCGCAGACCTCCTTCACGGCTTCCTCTAGAGCCATCCGCAGCTTGGTCCAGCGGGCGAAAGGCAGGCCCTCCTGCTTAGAGGAGGAGTCGGAGGAGTCCGCGTAGGCCCCCGAAGCCATGTTCAGCTGGTCCCACCAGCTGCGCTGCTTCTCTTCGGTCCCTGGGCCGTCGGACGGGGGGCACGACTCCAGCTTGGGGGGGGCCTCGCCGCCCCGCAGCGTGTGGATGAGGAGATCCCCCCACTGCAGCAGTCTCTGGGGCAGGCTGACCCCCGCTTGAGGCTCGTGGAGGGGGCTAGATTGGGCCAGGGGCCCTTCCGTCAGGCTGGAGACGGCACCCGGGTGCCTCGCCAAATGCGGGCGGCCAGGCCCACAGACCTTCCGGGAAGCTGCGGAGAGATCCGCCGGCATCCCCGCCTGATGGGACGCCGGCCGCACGTCCAGGGACAGGTGATGGTACTCAAAGAGAAGGTCCAGCTGGAAGGTCAGGGTGGAGAGCGGCTGGAGGAGGAGGAGGACTTCTTCGGCCCAGCGGCGGCAAAAGCCTTGGGTGAGGACCAGAAAGGCCGAGGGCAGGTAGAGGGCAGAGATGAGGTCTGCAGGTGGGAAAGAACTCACACAGGTCAGAAACGGAGACGGGCAATGAAACGGGAAAAAAATCACAGAATGATGTGGCTCAGGGACAGAACCAGGGCTATTTTTTGGGTGGGAACGGAGTTCCGGCTGGCTCCCTAATTGGCCACGCCCAGCAGGAACTCATTAGCGTAATAGGCCACACCCAACAGCAGAAACCCATTAGGATTGGCTACATTAGGGGTGTGTGGCCTAACATGCAAAGGAGTTCCTGCTACAAAAAAAGGCCCTGGGTTTTGACAAGGTAAACAGAATAAGAAGCAAAAGGTGGGTGTGGCTGGATGACCACACTTCTGGTAACATGGGGGTGCGGCCTAATGTGCTAATGAGCTGTGCTGTCAGGGGTGTGGCCTAATATGCTGATGAGTTCCTGCTGTTGGGTGTGGCCTATTATGCTAATGAGTTCCTGCTGGGCTTTTCCTACAAAAAGAGCCCTGGACAGAACTGCTTGGCGTGTAGAAGGTCCCAGGTTCGATCCCCAGCATCTCCAGTTGGAAGGAGCGGGCAGTAGGTGATGTGGAAGACTTCCACCTGAGCCCCTGAAGAGCAGCTGCCAGTCTGAGTAGGCAATACTGACCTTGATGGTCTGATTCAGTATAAGGCAGCTTCATGTGTTCATGAGTTAAATACAGCATCATACTTCGGGAGAACCTTGACTTTTTTAAAAAAAGTTCTTAGTCCTTAGGAAAAGGAAGGTGCCTGCTGAGCTGGACAGCAGGCCGGAGAAGATTCCCAGCATTTGTTTATAGGTAGACTTCAAAACCAGCAAGGATTATGCAAAACAAACCCCAAAAAAACACAGTAAAAAAGGGAAATTGGATACCTCTTTTTTTTTTTTTTAAAGGGAAGAATTACAGAAAATCTGTTGTGCTCCACTGCTTAACTAATCCAGGCCACAGTTTAAAGTTTTATCCTCCCTTCTTTAGCTAAAAGATCACTATTTTGAGGCCCCACTATAATAATAATAATAAGAGTTTGGATTTACACCCTGCCCTTCACTACCCAAAGGAGTCTCAGAGCGGCTTACAATCTCCTTTCCCTTTCCCTCCCCACAACAGACACCCTGGGAGGTAGGTGAGGCTGAGAGAGCTCTCTCCAGAACTGCTTGTGAGAGAACAGCTCTGAGAAAACTTGTGACTGACCCAAGGTCACAACAGCAGCTGTGTAGGGAGAATCAAACCCGGTTCTCCCAGATTAGAGACCGCACACCTAGCCACAACACCAAACTGGCTCTTAGCTAAACGGCTGTCTCAACGACAGGTGCCCTGAAGGTTCAAAACCAAACTGTTGCTAAGACCCACCGAGGGTCCCCTGCCCTATGAGCAAGGAACCCTCCCCAAAGCCCACTATTTACCTGTGTTCTGCTGCAGGTTGGAGAACCACTGTTCTAACTGCTTCATGCTGAAGGGAACAGAACCAAATGTAATTATGAGCACCGCGGCCCTCGGGACGATTCCCCTCATCACCCCACCAGCTCCCTTTTCTTCTTTACCATCTACACACACACACACCGGTCTACTTACTTCAGTAGTCCTAGGATAAAGGCATGGAAGCGTTGCTGGTTGCTCCGGAGCGGTGCCAGCCGAGACACCCGCCAGTAGAGTGCGTTCAGGGAGCGGGTGTGGGGTCCTGGGGGGGGGGGGAACCAAAAGGAAAGATTCACAGACATGCAGGGAAAAGGAGTCACCCTGTGACCGGAGGCCTTTGAAATAGGTTCCCCCCCCTCAAGGAAGTTGGGAAGGGCCCACTTGGCTATGAGAACCACTGGACCGTAGTTTCTCAGAGACCTGCCGGTTCGAATTTGGCCTCTGCCGCCTAGTTCCCTTGGCGTCGCAGTGCTCCCTCTAAGCTGAGTTAGTGTGAGCTAGCTCACAGGTTTTTTAGCCTCCGGCTCACACATTTTTGTCCTCGCTCAGGAAGGAGGGCTCCAGAGCAAACTCATCTCTGACGTACAGGCTTCTCCCTTCCAGATTATCCTCACAACAGCCCGTTGAGGTAGGTTAAGCTGCAAGGCTGACTGGTCCTCGGAAGTCTCACGGCAAGTGGGGATTTCAACACAGGTCTCTGCAGCCCTATAGACTTAAGGTAAAGGTTCCCTTACTCGAAAGCCAGTCGAATCCGACTCTAGGGTTGCGGTGCTCATCTCCGTTTCAAAGCCGAAGAGCCAGCGCTGTCCGAAGACGTTTCCATGGTCATCTGGCCGGCATGACTAAACATCAAGGTGCACGGAACGCTGTCACCTTCCCACCGAAGTGGTACCTGTTTATCTACTTGCAATTTCTTGCTTTCGAACTGCTAGGCTGGAACTAGAGACGGCAACTGGGGTTTCGAACTGCTGAACTACCGCCCTTCCACAGCCTGCAGTTCAGCGTCTTAACCACTTGAGCCACCGCAGCTCCTATAGACTTACATGCTAACAATTCAGTCTTTCTGGCCATTATGCAAAAGATATGTGGTTGGTAGCTCAGATTTTTGAGGTATCATTCAAGGTACGCAAATGCTTACCTGTTTAGTATTATCGGGAGCTATTACCCAACCAAAAAAACCTTAGTGTTCCTTCTGGTACATAGATTCAGGTGGGTAGCCGTGTTGGTTTGAAGTAACAGAACAAAGTTTGAGTCCAGTGGCACCTTCTAAGACCAACAAAGTTTAATTCTGGGCGATACTCCCTCTAAGCTGTGGAGTCGTGTGAGCAAAAATTCTACTTTGTGAGCTACTGGCATTAAACTTGTGAGCACGCGATTTGGCTACTGCATAAATTAGTCTGCTCTGGAGCCCTCCTTCCTGAGCTAAGACAAAAATGTTTGAGCTAGAGGCTAAAAAGCTGTGAGCTGGCTCACACTCACTCAGCTTAGAAGGAACACTGGTTCTGGGGATAAGCTTTCGTGTGTGTGCACACTTCTCCAGATACACAGAACAAAGTTGGAGTCTAGTGGCACTTTTAAGACCAACAAAATGTAATTCTGGGTATTTTATTTATTTATTTTATTTATCTATTGTTCGATTTATATCCCGCCCTCCCCAGAATGGGCTCAGGGCGGCTAACAATTAGGGCACAGAGCCAAGATCAAACAAGTAGGGCACGAAGCCATGATTAAAACACTAAAAACAGAATAAAACAATCCAATAATACATAAAGTGCAGGTGCTCTAGATGTTGCTACAGTCCTCTAGGTGTCACTTCAATTCTCAATTCCAAGATGGGTTCTGGTAAAATAAACCCAGAACAACGGCGTAAGTTCCGTAACAACACTGCCGTCCAATCTTCGTCCCAGGGCCGTCTTGCACCTCGTTGGTATCCACACCATTTATGGTGGCGGTGCGATGGTGGTACAGTGGCGGCTTTCATGTGCATGCACTCTTCTTCAGATACACAGAAGAAGAGAATGGATTTATATCCCACCCTCCACTACCCAAGGGAGTCTCAGAGCGGCTTACAAACTCCTTTCCCTTCCCCTCCCCACAACAGACACCCGGTGAGGTAGGTGGGGCTGAGAGAGCTCTTTCGAGGACTGCACTTGAGAGAAGAGAAGAAGAAGAAGAGATTGGATTGGCTTACAAACTCCTTTCCCTCCCCCTCCCCACAACAGATGCCCTGTGAGGTAGGTGGGGCTGAGAGAGCTCTTGACAGAAACTGCTCTTTTTCAAGAACAGCTCTGACAGAACTACAGCTTGCCCAAGGTCATCCAGCAGGTGCAAGTGGAGGAGTGGGGAATCAAACCCGGATCTCCCAGATTAGAGTCCGCGCACTCAACCACTACACCAAACTGGCTCTCACCCAACAAAGTCTGAGTCCAGTGGCACCTTTAAGACCAGCAAAATTTAATGCTGGGCATAAGCTTTGTCGGTGCCACTGGACTCAAACTTTGTTCTTACGCTATATGAACTCTGGCTCTTTTCTCCCGGGGAATCTGATCTCTGCCATCTGGAGATCACCTATAGAACTGGGAAGTCTCCAGGTCCCACCTGGAGGTTGGCATCCCATGACAGGACCCAGTTCATCAGAAAACCGAATCTGCACTAACGCGGCCCCCTCTCTCTCTCCCATTGCCCACCTGCTGGGCTTGAACGACGCTCCACGGGGAACTGGGCCTCTGGCCGGTGATGACGTCCTTCTGGAAGGGCTTCAAGCCGTCGCACACCAGGGCACGCAGGGCCGGGCACAGGGTGCTCACGACGAGGTAGCCCACCTCTGGGTTGAGCCGGCTGTCTCCCAGCTGGGCCTGCGGGGGGGGGGGAAAGGAAACGGCTGCGTCGGCTCTGGCAGGGGAAGCAGGCAGCCACCCCTCTCTTGGTTAATGGGTAATTAGAGTTTTCTAATTAGATTCTCTCCCCCACACACACACACACAACCGCAGCAGGGAGCTGGATTCCCACCTCCTTCGGCTGCCAGCCAGGCAGACGAGGGGGTTTGCTTGTGCCTGTATTTATGGTCCTGGCCAAGAAAACGGCGGCCAGAAATGTAAATACTTTGACGCCCTCTACATCGATGTGGATAGTTGCCAGGAGCAACGCTCCCTCTAAGCTCTGGAGTCCTGTGAGCCAAAATTCTACTTTGCGAGCTACTGGCATGAAAGTTGTGAGGGAGCGATTTGGCTACCGCACTAATTAGTTTGCTCTGGAGCCCTCCTTCCTGAGCTAAGGCAACAATGTATGAGCCGGGGGCTAAAAGACTGTGAGCTAGCTCACACTAACTCAGCTTAGAGGGAACGCTGGCCAGGAGGATACCTGGGCCGGGAAGGGGGACACACACAAAGCTACAGAATGGGTGCGTTCAGACGGGGGCTTTCTGCCGGCATAAACTGCAGCGGTTGGAACCGGTGCAGTTTATGCCGGCAGAAACGCGATCACACTTACCTCCATTTTGCGGTTCCCATCCATCGTTGTACACCCGGTCACACGCTGCGGGCGTCGGCTTTTTATTTTTTTAACACAGTTTGAGCATGTGCATAGGCAGCCATTCACAGAATGGCGATCTTTGCGCATGCTCAAACCCCCCCCCCATTACATTTAAACTTTAAAGGTAAGGACTTACCTTTAAAGTTTAAAGCCCAAACTGGCCTCCCTGAAGTCCCGGACTCCTCCGGATAGGTAAAGTAAGGTTTTTTGTTTTTTTTTAAACAAACGCTCAGGGCGAAGCTTCGCCCAAGCGCATATTGCTCCGTTTAAAAAAAAAATGGCGGGGGGAAACCGGAAGCCTCAGGCTTCCAACGGAAATGGCTAGGCACTGGTGGAGAGTGATCAGACGCCGGGGAAGATCGAAAGCAACCGTTGCACTCAGTATACCGCCACTTGGGACCTAGTGGCAGAGTGCAACGGTGTAAAGGGCTTTACACCGGTTAGGGACAGGAGGCAGATGTTCCCTGTCTGAACGCCAGTGAGTACAGCGATTGCAACCGGCACCTATACCGGTGTAAAGCCCCCGTCTGAACGCTCCCAATGTGTTCCTCTGCAGTCATGTGTGAGCACACGCACGCACACATGCACACCGTTTGGAAACGGGGTTGTCATCTCTGGGTCGGGGAATTCCTGGAGATTTGGGGAGCGTGGAATTTAGGGAGGGGAGGGAGGACTCCAGGACGCCTCAGAGCCCGCCTTCCAGAGCTGCCTTTTTCGCCAGGGGAACCCTGGAATCTTGAGATCCCTTTCAGAGGATACCTGTGATAGTCTGTAGCATCTTAGAGACCAGCAAGATGTTGGGGGTATGAGCTTTCGGGGGGGGGGGGATTGGATTTATACCCCGCCCTTCACTCAGAGTCTCAGAGCGGCTTACAATCTCCTCTCCCTTCCCCTCCCCACAACAGACGCCCTGTGAGCAGTGTTCCCTCTAAGCTGAGTTAGTGTGAGCTAGCTCACAGTTTTTTAGCCTCCGGCTCACACATTTTTGTCTCAGTTCCGGAAGGATGGCTCCAGAACACACTAATTTATGCAGTAGCCACATCACCTGCTCACAACTTTAATGCCGGTAGCTCACAAAGTAGAATTTTTTGCCCCCAGGACTCTACAGCTTAGAGGGAACATTGCCTGTGAGGTAGGCGGGGCTGAGAGAGCTCTTGACAGAAACTGCTCTTTTTCAAGGACAGCTCTTATCAGAACTAGGGCTTGCCCAAGGTCATCCAGCAGCTGCAAGTGGAGGAGTGGGGAATCAAACCGGGTTCTCCCAGATTAGAATCCGGGCGCTTTAACCACTACACCAAACTGGCTCTCGGTCTCTCTGACACTCCCTTGTCAGATACCCTGAAAATCTTGTCGGTCTCAAAGGGGCTACTGGTCTCAAACCTAGTGAAGATCAGACATAACTCTGGGCGGCCTCCGAGCCGTAGTTGGTGGCGGGCAGGCCTCCTTGGGAATCACCTTCTGGACGAGGTTCCTGGCGGTGCTGAAATGGGCCACGATCCTGTCCACCGAGGCACTCACTGCCACGAGCAAGGCTGCAAGGAAGTAAACGCAAGACGGGATTCTTAGCGGGGTGGGGTGGACATCAGATCCCTAGTGCCTCTCGCGTCCTGTCCAATGAACTTGCCCAGCAGTTCACTCTCGGCAGGTCCATTAGATGGATTATACATGATTTCTTATATAGATAAGTAAAGCTAAATATCAGGAGGAACCGCCTAACTGTAAGGGTGGTTGAGCAGCGGAACAGACGGCCTCGGGAGGTGGTGGGTGCTCCTTCGATGGACGTTTCCAAGCGGAGGCTGGACGACCATCTTGCAGGTATGTTGTAGGGCTGTCTTTCGGCTGTGCGCCTGCAGAGTGCAGGGGGCTGGACTAGATGACCTGCAAGGTCCCTTCCGACTCTTAACATTCTATGATTCTGTGACACTTGACAGGCACACAGGTCCCTGGCCCTGAGGCACTTGCCCCCGAGCCTGATTCCTAGCTCTTTGGAACACACTTGTAGACTTCATGCCACTTTGAATCTTGCCAGAGCTGGGTTGAGCTCCATCACTAAGAAAAGCGGCCTGATGAAGCCCTAAGAAACGGCAAAGCAACCTTGGTGTGCCGCCGCCGCCGCTCCTTTGGTTCGCGCTACAGCTAGTCCTCCTGAGCTCATGCCATCCACTGTGATTTTTCTTCTGGAAACTCTTCTCTGCACCGTGAGCCGGTGACCACATCATTCTGAAGAGAGACTTGCACTTTCGAGGCGCATCAGGTCACTATTCAACTGGTGCAGATGTCATCTATGCATGGTGGCAGGGGTCATTTCCTGCGGGAGCGCACAGGAGCAGAGCTCCGGCAGTAAGGAGCCCAGGGAGCGGGCACATGCAACAAGCCCCGCCCCCTGCTCCCTGCAGCCCTCAGAGCAAGAAGCAGCCAGGTAAGTTGCAGAGCCCCCTCCCCAGCCCACCATCAGGTACAAGCTCTCCCCCTCCTCTGTGAAGTCAGATCTGCGCGTCCCCCCCCCCAATAGCTAGCAATCCAAAACAGTCCAGTGGAGCCTGAGTGGTGGGTGTTGCCTTCTGACACACTTCCGGTGATGTCAGGGGGTGTGGCATATGCAAACAAGTTATGCTAATGAGTTGTGCTAATGAGCTCCTGCACCTCTTTTTCTACAAAATGACCCCTGCAAGGTGGCAAAACCATTTGTGACGTCTATCCTTTATCGTAAGTAGAACTGTATAAGAAAGTAGTCTCAAGGGTGATTTGTACAGCGTGGCAGAGTATTCTTGTGTTTTGTTTGCACCACCTGGAGGTTGGGAACCCTAGCCTCAGAGGGGCTGACAGACCTTCCCTTCCTCTCCCCGCAACAGACACCCTGTGAGGCAGGTGGGGCTGAGAGAGCTCGGAGAGAGCGCCTGTGACGGGCCCGAGGCCACCCAGCTGGCTTCATGGGGAGGAATGGAGGAATCAAACCCGGTTCTCCAGATTAGAGTCCGCCACTCTTCACTGCTACACCAAGCTGGCTCTCAAAAAGAGTGACTGGCCCGAGGTCCCCTAGGAAGCAGAGACGGCATTTGAACTCCGGTCTCCCAGGTTCCTAGTCCAAAACAGCGCTGCCAAGGTGGCTCTCACCGGCCTGTCTGCGACAGATAGAAGAAGAAGAAGAAGAAGAAGAAGAAGAAGAAGAAGAAGAGGAGGAGGAGGAGGCGGAGGGACATGGGTGTTATCCCGATTTATACCCCGCCCTTCACTTGGAGTCTCAGAGCGGCTTACAAACTCCTTTTCCTCCCCCTCCCCACAACAGACACCCCGTGAGGTGGGTGGGGCTGAGAGAACTCTGACACAAACTGGTCTTTTTCAAGGACAGCTGTGCCAGAGCTTGTGACGGACCCAAGGTCACATCAGCAGGTGCAAGTGGAGGAGTGGGGACTCAAACCCGGTTCTCCCAGATTAGAGTCCGCACACTTAAGTGGATCGACGGATGAACAGATAGATAAACAGACTATCTATCTATTGATCCCAAGGTGGGGGAGGCTGTAGGGAGATGGTGCCTGTTACAAGCGGTCTCTCTCCTCTTGGGAGTTCCCGGAACGCAGACGTGTTGCCATAGTAACCCTTCCTCTCTGTGCCTGTTCCAAAGAATAAAGGTGCAAGAAGAACTGGCAGTCGCCATGGCAACAGGCTCAGCTAAGATGGGAATTGGGGAAGGTGTCCCCAATATGAAAGGTGCATGCAGGGCTCCCCCCACCCCAAACCCATGCTTTCCCCTCCTTGGCCCCAGAACGTTCTGAGTCAACAGCGCCATCTCTTGGATGGAGGCGCAAATAACAGGGGGGAAAGGGGCCCTCAGACAAGAGTGCCTCGCTTTCTTGACGTGCTTTCAATTGTAAGCTCCTCTGGGCAGGGACCTACTTTTTTTGTTGTTGCTGCTGTGTAAGGTGCCTCGCAAAATTAAACACTGACACGCACACCCCAGCCACGGGGTACTTCCCCTCAGTCTGAGGCCACGTCCATGAAGAGTTGGAGGCTGCACAAGTGTTGCAATATAGCAGTCCTTCATAACTGGGTTTTCCTGGTGTGGACGAGGCAACCCGCTGGTGAATAACTGCTATAGCATAAGGGCAGTGTACTACTTAGTGAACCCCAGGGGTCGTTTTGTAGAAAAAGAGCTAGGGGAACTCATTAGCATACCTCATTAGCATATGCCACACCCCCTGACATCACCGGAAGTGTGTCATAAGGCCACACCCCCTGACATCACCGGAAGTGTGTCATAAGGCCACACACCCCGCCCCCAACGGTCCCGGCCGACGCCGCCGGCCTTGCAGCTCCACTGCCGAGCCCCATGAGGGGCCCGGCGGTGGACCTGCAAGGCCGGCGGGAGTGCAAGGAAGCCCCGCGAAGGCCCTCCCTGGCCCCAGGCAGGCAGGGGTGGGGAGAGGCAGGGAGGAAGCAACTTACCCTCCCTCTTCTCCTGCCTCCTCCTGGCTGAATGAGGGCCGGAAGCGGGGCGGCCGGAAGTGGGGGCGGGGCTTCGTCATGTGCCCTGCCCCCCGAACCTCACCCGGGGGAACTGCGATCCCCCGCGATCCCCCCGAAACGACCTCTGGTGAACCCAGAATGGAAAATAACCCTGGTGATCCAGGTAGCAGAAAATAAATAAGACCTGTGGTCTGAGCTGGTTACCCTTGGGCCAGGGAAAAAGCAGCCTAAATGAATGATCCCAGCAAATCAGCACTTTCTGAGAATCAATCCAGCACAATGATGCAGTTCCTACTTGAGGTTCTCCAACGTGATCCAGAAAGATCTAGGGGGGGGAATCGTGTGAAAGTGTTTTCCACTCTGTTTTTATAATTTGACGTGCATCTTTAAAAAAAAATCTGCTGCTGCTTTTACTAGGAAGCCCTATTACCTGCTGGTGTTCAACAGCTGAGCTTTAGAGGTTTAACAGGCTAGATTACTGTCAAGTGGCCTGCATGGGGAAGCCCTTGAAGACTATTCAGAACAAACAGATGGTGCGAAAAATACAGCAGCAACAGTGTCAGGGCTATTTTGGGGCAGGAACGCACAGGAACAGAGTTCCGGCTGGCTCCTGAGTTGGCCACGCCCAGGAGGAATTCATTAGCACAACAGGCCACACCCAACAGCAGAAACTCATTAGGATTGGCTACATTAGGGGTGTATGGCCTAACATGCAAAGGAGTTCCTGCTACAAAAAAAGCCCAGAGTTTTGACAACAAACGAAGTAAACAGAATAAGAAGCAAAAGATGAGTGTGGTAACATGGGGTGTGGCCTAATATGCTGTGATGTGAGGGGAGTGGCTTAATATGCTAATGAGTGTCTGCTGTTGGGTTTGGCCTATTGTGCTAATGAGTTCCTGCTGGGCTTTTTCTACAAAAAAAGCCCTGAACAGTGTCATGAGAAACCTTAAAAACAGAGAATGGCAGCCAATAAGTATTTAAAATAAAGAAATAACAAGAAGGGAACTCCCTTTTAACACTGGATTTGATTTGCTTTTGCTGGCTGTATTGGTGGGGGTCATGATGAACCAGATGGGGAAATTGATTTATTGGTCTGACAGAAAATATGGACTCTAGAGGATTTGAGGAAGGATGCGGAACAGAATTTCTCCTTTGATCTGCTTACCTTTCTTTTGTTCTCTGAGCTGCACGGAGACTCGGTCAGCGTCTGCCCCCCAGGCACGGCCTGCGCTCGGGACCCCACCAAAAGACTGAGAATGTCGGACTAGAGGAAGAAAGGGGGGGGGGAGAACGGGGGTTAACATGGTGGGCCCAGAAAGATGGCTTTCCTCTACACACTTCCATACGCTCGCTTGGATCCACCCATCTTGGGCATCCAATTCTCACTTAATTCCGATCCTTACAGTAGCCCTCCTCTTATAGGAGCACTTGAAACTGCCTTGTACTGATCATCAGTCCATCCAAGTCAGCATTGTCTACTCGGACTGGCAGCAGCTCTCCAAGGTCTCAAGCAGAGGTCTTTCCCTTCACCTCCTGCCAGATCTTTTAATTGGAGATGCCGGGGACTGAACCTTGGACCTTCTGCATGCCAAGCAGATGCTCTACCACTGAACCATGGCCCCACCCCAAAACACCCACAGACCACCTCATACTATTGGTCCATCAAGGTCAATATTGTCTTCTCTGACTGACAGGAGCTCTCCAGGGTCTCAAGCTGAGGTCGTTCACATCACGTTCGACCTAATCTCTTTAGCTGGAGATGCTGGGGATCGAACCTGGGACCTTCTGCATGCCCAGCAGGGGCTCTTCCACTGAGCCACTGGCCTCTCCCCTCTCACATGGCTTTGTCCCTCCAAATCCCTCAGCAGACCCTTTCTCACCAATAGAAAACCTGGTCGGATCCGACCCTCGTTGCCAACCCACATCTCTCTGAATACCTGTCCTCTCTTCACACACCTTATGTCTAAGGACTCGAAGGCAGAGGCTACACTCCAAAAATGTCACAACAGCACAGTTTATAGCAAAATATTCAGTCCCTTTCAAGAGAATAAGACCCTGGACCTGGCTTGTAAATAACCATTTGCTTGCTCACCTATGGGGAACAACGATGGGTTCCAGGAGACCAGAGTAGTTGTAAATCAGATGAGAGTTTGGTTCTTTTCTCTCTCTCTCTCTCTCCCTCTCTCTCTCTCTTTCAAGCCATCAATAGGTCAAAAAGCATGTCGTGGGCTAGTAAATTATTTTGAGGGGCTAGTCTCATTTGTGGATCAACTTTCACCACCAACCGTCAGTCCAGTTTATCATAATTTGTGCTCCCAATTTATTACACTTTGAACTGAATTTGTGCTCCCGAAAGATGCTGTATCGGATTCTGGCCGGGCAGGACCCCAGGAAGAAAAAGGCAGACCGTCTGAGAACCTCTTCCTCTTTGATGACACTCAGCACAAAGGCAGATAGATAAGAGATCGATCAACAGTGCCACGACAAGCCAGCTAACGAGAACCTCCATGTGCAGCAGCAGTCTACCTCTGACTGCCAGTGGAGGCTTGTCCTCTGGGGCCCAGTCTAAGGTTGCCAGCTCCTGGCTAGAAATTCCTGGAGATTTGCAGATGGAGCCTTGTGAGTGCCAAATTTGGAGCGGAGAAGGTATAATGTCACAGAGTCCACCCTCCAGAGCAGCCATTTTCTCCAGGGGAGCTGATCTCTGTAGTCTGGAGATGAGCTGGAATTCAGGAAGATCTCCAGGCCTCACCTTGAGGATGGCAACCAGTGTCCCCTCTAAGCTGAGTTAGTGTGGAGATAGCTCACAGTTTTTTAGCCTCCGGCTCACGCATTTCCGTCTTCGCTCAGGAAGGAGGGCTCCAGAGCAAACTGATTGATGCAGCAGCCAACTTCCTCGCTCACCACTTTAATGCCAGTCGCTCACTAAGCAGAATTTTGGTTCACAAGGCTCCACGGCTTAGAGGGGGCGTTGGTGGCAACCCTGTACCAGTGTTTCACCACCACCGCTCCCATTGGGCGCTGTTGTTCCCCTGTGCCTAAAACCCCTTCCTCCAGCAGCACCCAGAAGGTTCAAGACCCTGCCTCTCTGGACCCGAGTAGAAGCAGCCCCCTCTGAACCATGTTTAAAAGATGTTTCGCCGGCTTCTTATACTCCTCTAGCTTCGAATCCAACCTGACACTGGGTGATTGGTGACACACATTTGAGTGTGCCAGGAACTCCAGGCGGGACCTGGAGATCTCCTGGAATTACAGATTATCTCAAGACTACAGAAACCGATTCTCCTGGAGAAAACAGCTGCTCCGGAGAGTACAGAACCACAGAATCATGGAGTGGGAAGGGGCCATGCAGGCCATCTAGCCCCAGTTTGGTGTAGTGGTTAAGTGCGCGGACTCTAATCTGGGAGAACCGGGTTTGATTCCCCACTCCTCCACTTGCACCTGCTGATGTGACCTTGGGTCAGTCACAAGCTCTGGCACAGCTGTCCTTGAAAAAGAGCAGTTTGTGTCAGAGTTCTCTCAGCAACCCAAAACCCACTTATTTATCGCAAAGTGCCAACACAGCAATTTAACCTGAATAACAGAGGTTTTACTTTAGAAAAAACAACTCATACATTAACTTAAGATGATCCAAACAAAGTAAGGAAAGCAATCCCAAATGCTTTCATTTACTTTAAATTATTTGGCAGAGAATTCGACACTTTAATGATGGTCTGGGCCTGGCTGGGGCGATGGCACGCGCGCCCACAGAGAGGGCTCTGAGGGCCACCTCTGGCACCCGTGCCATAGGTTCGCCTCCACTGGCCTAGAGCATCCCTGACAAGGGTTTGTCCAGCTGCTGCTTAAGGACTGCTGGGGAGGGGGAGCTCACCACCTCCCGAGGCAGCCCGGTTCCACTGTGGCACAACTCTGACTGTCAAAACGTTTCTCCTAATATCCAGCCAGTACCTTCCCATCCTTAATTTCAACCCATGATTGCGAGTCCTCTCCTCTGCGGCCAACAGGAACAGCTCCCTGCCCTCCTCTAAGTGACGGCCCTTCAAAGACTTCAAGAGAGCCTCAACCTCCTCTCCTCCAGACTGAACATTCCCGAGTCCCTCAGCCTTTCCTCACAGGGCTTGGTCTCCAGGCCCCCGATCATCCTCATCACTCTCCTCTGCACCCGCTCCGTTCTGTCCAGTGTTCCCTCTAAGCTGAGTTAGTGTGAGCTAGCTCACAGTTTTTTAGCCTCCAGCTCACACCTTTTTGTCTTAGCTCAGGAAGGATGGCTCCAGAGCAAACTAATTTATGCAGTAGCCAAATCACTTGCTCACAACTTTAATGCCAGGAGCTCACAAAGTGGAATTTTTGCTCACAAGATTCCACAGCTTAGAGGGAACATTGGTTCTGTCCACAACTTTTTTGAAGTGAGGCCTCCAGAACTATAGAGCATTATACCCCACAGAAGTCTCCCTACTTCCCAAACCCCGCCGTCCCTAGGATCCACCCAACAAATCTCCAGGGATTTCCCGACCCCAAAGACAGCAAGCCGTCACCTCCCAGACTGATAGCCCCTGATCTACAAGATCGAGATGGAGAAAACCACACAACTGTAGGAGAATTCCCCAACACTTCATTTGCTATGGAGCACCGCCATTTTAGGGCCATGTCCTGACCATCAGCACAACCGAATCACAAAGCTGTTCCTGGATTTATACTTCTTCACACTGCAAAGAAGACCCATGAGGCTAGGGGGACTTCCCCTCATATAGAAAACTAGCGTGTCATAAGAACATAAGAGACGCCAATGTTGGATCAGGCCAAAGGCCCATCCAGTCCAACACTCTGTATCACACAGTGGCCAGAAATACCAGGTGCCATCAGGAGGTCCACCAGTGGGGCCAGGACATTAGAAGCCCTCCCACTGTTGACCCCCCCCAAGCACCAAGAAGACAGAGCATCACTTGCCCCAGAGCCCCTATCTATACCTTGTGGCTAATAGCCACTGATGGACCTCTGCTCCATATGCTTATCTAATTCCCTTTTGAAGCCGTCCATGCTTGTAGCCACCACCACCTCCTGTGGCAGTGAATTCCAAGTGTTAATCACACTTTGGGTGAACTTTGAAGAAGTACTTCCTTTTATCCGTTCTAACCCGACCGCTCTGCAATTTCATGGAGTGCCCACGAGTTCTTGTATTGTGAGAAAGGGAGAAAAGTACCTCTCTCTACCTGCTCTTTCCCATGCATAATCTTATAAACCTCAATCATGTCACCCCTCAGTTGTCGTTTCTCCAAACTAAAGAGCCCTAAGCGCTAAGTGTCAAAGTTCCATCTGCGCTTTCTCCCTGAATTCTAGCTTTCTACGAGTAAAGAGTTTATTCTGTTGACAGGAGACCATTCTATCACACCACTCAGCAGAGTTTCTTCTTTAATGGATTTCGAAAGCAAGACATTGCAAGTAGAGAAATAGGTACCACTTCAGTGGGAAGGTAACAGCGTTCCGTGCGCCTTGGTGTTTAGTCATACCGGCCGCATGACCACGGAAACGTCTTTGGACAGCGCTGGCTCTTCGGCTTTGAAACAGAGATGAGCACAGCAACCCTAGAGTCGGATTCGACTGGCTTTCGAGCAAGAGGACCTTTACCTTTACTTTAGTGTCTGGCTAATGGGAGGGTGACCCTTACCCAAACCCAAAAGCACATCTGATAACTCAAGGAACACAAATCTGGCTTAGACTGGCGCAGTACCCAGAGTAGCAAACAGTCTGTTGACAGATACTCATTGTGACTGTATTGTCCTAGCCGCCGCACCCCCAATTCTTATATTCCCCTCGTTCCGAACTCTCTTCCCTGCCTTAGGATTCCGTACTCTGAAAATGATTTCTTCTTGAAAACAAAATAAAATAACTCTGAAGTTTCTCGCCCCCATCTCCAGCTTAGTTTTCCACATTTCTGAAAAAGCTTTCTTTCATTTTGAAAAAACACATATGAACATAAACATAAGAGAAGCCAATGTTGGATCAGACCAATGGCCCATCCAGTCCAACACTCTGTCACGCAGTGGCCAAAAATACCAGGTGCCATCAGGAGGTCCACCAGCGGGGCCAGGACACTAGAAGCCCTCCCACTTTTGCCCCCCACTCAGCACCACAAATACAGAGCCTCACTTGCCCCAATCAGAGAGTTCCTATCTATACCTTGTGGCTAACAGCCACCGATGGACTTCTGCTCCATATGTTTATCTAATTCCCTCTTGAAGCCATCCATACTTGTAGCCGCCACCTCTTGTGGTAGTGAATTCCATGTGTTAATCACTCTTTGGGTGAAGAAGTTTACTTCCTTTTATCCATTCTAACCCGGCTGCTCAGCAATTTCATTGCATGTGAGAAAGGGAGAAAAGGACTTCTTTCTCGACCTGCTCTGCCCCAGGCATAATCTTATAAACCTCGATCGTGTCACCCCTCAGCCGTCGTTTCTCCAAGCTAAAGAGCCCCAAGCACTTTAACCTTTCTTCATAGGGAAAGTGTTCCAACCCTTTTATCATTCTAGTATTTTATCATTCTAGTAACATCCAAGTTTCTAGCCCTTATGACTATGAATGAACGTCTGAGAACCTGGGGTGAGGGGCAGCTGGAAGACAGGCTGAGGACAATTTCTAGTCAGTAGGTCCTTGTCACCCTTTTCATGACTACACACTATATTCTTACATTCCAAAAGCTTTACTTTTAAAATGTATAACCACTTCCTGTGCTTATGGGACAGTCACTGTTTTGGATGGGCCTCCCGATGAGAAGAAGGCTGTCCTAGAGAAGAAACCCATGCAGAGCTGCAACAAACAGCCTTCCACCACGGACAGGTTATTTTGCTACATCTCCATAGCAGAAGTCACAAATGCTCCGATCAAAGCCAATCCAGAGATTGGGCAGAATGACCAAACCCAAATGCGCTTGACTAGAAGGAAGCCAAGCCAGAATAGTGACTCATGCAGAGATGCAGCAGGAAGCCTCTGTCATGCCTCTGTTATGATAAGTCCTGACCATCTCATACACAAATACAGGTCAGAATGACCTTCAGAAGAGGTTGATTGGGAGCTAACTAGTGACTTGTGCAGAGATACAGCGGACAGCCTTCTCTGTTGCATAGAGTGGGAGCAGTTGAATTATCCAACCACACTGGATGTAGAGATCCACAGAACTACATTTCCTGAATGACAAGATCTGAGTCCAGTAGCACTTTAAAGACCAACAGGATTTCCAGGTATAAGCATTCAAGAGTAAAAGTTCCCTTCATCAGACTTGGACTCTTGAAAGCTTATACTCAGGAAATATTTTTTTGTCTTTAAGGTGCTATTGGACTCCAGTCTTGCATGTCTACTTCAGACCAGCACGGCTCCCCACTTGAAATCCTCCTGACTGGGAATGAGAGAGAGCCTAACAGGCAGAGATGCGGCAGGAAGCCTCCTCTGCAGGAGAGATGCAGCAGGAAGCCTCCTCCACAGGAGAGTCTCAAGGGTACCTTTTCATATTTAATCTATTTTCATATTCCATCTATTTAATCTAATTTTGGGTACCTAAAAATGTGCTGGTATTCATATACAAGGTTGCACCAATTTCGTTCAGTTCCCTTCTCAAAGAGTTTCCAGTAATCAGTACTGGTAAGGGCCACCACAAAAAAGGCCCTGCTTGTGACCCAGTCTGGGAACGACAGAGGGGATAAAGGAAAGGGTTTGGGAAGGGGCGGCTTACGTTGCGCGGGACGTCCCGGATTCTTGGCTCCCATACTGTCTTGGGACAGTCTCCCCGGGCCCGCTCCAGCCTGGCTGTCGAGGGGGCAACGGGCTCCAAACGGCAGCTCGGGGACCTGGCGGGTCGGGAAAGCTAAGGCAGGGAAAGTTCTGCTGCGGGGGAAGAGAGGGGAGAAAAGCACAGCCAGATCGGGGCTCTCCAGGAAAGGCAGGGCGCTCCTGGCCGGCGGGGAGTAGGCCCCGATGGGGGAGAGGCGGATGGGGAGCAGCTCCTCGGGGGAGAGGGTACCGAAAACCTGGCCCTGCTTGCCGGCCAGCAGGCAAACCTCCTCGCAGGACAAGGTCTTCAGGCGGGGGCAGAAGGGCGACCCCGAAGGGCTCGGGGAGGTCAGCTCCACACTCTCCAAGCTGGGGCAGAGAGACGGGTGCAGGGGCTCGGCCGCCTTGCCGTCCACCACCGAGAAACGGAACAGAAGCGGTTGGAAGGGCAGGTTCTGGGGGCGGGAGGAGCAAGCAGGGAGGGCGCCGACTGCGGGCAGGAAGGGACACATGACACAGGCGGCAGGCAGGCCAGAGCAATGGGGCACGGGGG